CTCCTTAGAGGGAAAGATGTTTAAACTTGGTCTCACATACTTTTGTTATGTGGTTAGAAGAAGCCTGTCCTTGGAAAAGGAGATCCCACTTGGAAATGTCGAGGGCCAATGAAGGAGAGGAAGATCCTCTACAAGACAAATTGACACAGTGCCTAGAGTAATTGTTTTGAACATAGTAGGAATAGTGAGGATTGTGCAGGATAGATCGGGTTCAGGTCTACAGTTTATAGGGTCACTCTGAGTTGTGGTCAACCCAACAGCACCTAACTAAAACAAGAACAATCACTTTAACTGGATATCATGAATAAAAAAACAGAAGGAGTCAAGTATTTGCATGGAACTGACAAAGGAGAGAAACCAGAGAAAGAAGGAAACAGTTTATTTCCCAACATTTTCAATTTGTACTTTGCTGGGTACTTTCTCACTAGCCCACTAACCACTACTTCCTTCTTTCTCCTTTGTTTCTATTTCTTTTGGGTTTTCCCCACTCTCACATCTTATGTAAAGCACCCTTATCTTAACTGAGGGGCTAAGAAAACGGATTGTTGAAACAGAACCATATCAATTACCTATTAATAAGGAAGAAGAGAGATAATCTTTTTAAGAATGGGCTGTGGAGATAGATGCATCCAGTTTCTTAAATTTCAGGAAAAGAAAGAGAAGAATTTACAATTGTCATAAAGGGTAGTTTCTAAATGATGACTTCATCTACAAAATTTGTAGTAATAGAAGGAAATGAGACATCAAAGGAAATTGTGAGATACTTCTTTTTTGTTAGCTTTAACATTTTATGTAGATTATCATCAATGAGACACCACTTTTGGCTTGCATATTAAGACTATTTCCTTTTAATACTCATAGCAAAGATAATATGGTTGTTTCATTAGATATTCTATCACAGTTATCTTTGAAAAACTGAAGCAACTCTCTAGAACCTGCAGGTGCTTAAGCATTTGCAATACCAAAGGACTCACAATGAATTGAGCCTTATAAAAACCTTGTGAACAATAGAGAACATTTACACTAATAAATGTGGCACTGGAGGCTGAACCCACATATTTGTAAACACAAATGAGGAGAAACAGTTGCAAACACACACTAATGATTGCAACGTGGAATGTGAGAAGAATGAATGTAGGAAAATCAGACATATTAAAGAAGAAATGGAATGCATAAATATTGACATACTCCACATTATCAAGCTGAGATGAATTGGCCTGTGTAATTTTGAATCAGACAATCATATGACCTAATATGCCAGAAATGAAGTAGTGAGGAGAAATGTGATTACATTCATAGTAAAAAATACCATCTCTAGATCCTTTCTAGAATACAATGTTTTGAGTGGCAAGATACTATCTATACACATACAAAGAAGACCTGTCAATACCAATACCATACAAATATATGCACCAACAACTAGAGCTAAAGAAGAAGAAAGTAGATTTCTATCAACTGTTGCAGTCTGAAATGGATCAAATATGCAACCAAGATTCATTAATAATAATTGACAGCTATAATATAAAAGTTTGGGACAAGTAAGAAGGATCAGTAGAGTTTGAGGTAGAGAGCTACAAGGAGGAGAGAGACTCATTTTGTCAGCTGGCATGTTGAAGTACTAGAGTGAAAGCTACATTTGAAATACTCTCAACAGAAACTGCTTAAGTGGAGTGCCTGACTTTGCAACTCTCTACTACTCATCAGACAAAGAAGGACAATAGAGTTGGAGAGAGTGGACAACAATAAGGCAATATTTCTGCAGGGCTGCATTGTAGACCAGAGACAACTTGAAAGACTTTAGGAAAGGTAAAGGACTTCCAATAGAGTGAGCAGCCCATTTAATAGATTCAACAACATCATAAAGATAAGGACTATCAACAACTTATATAGACACAATAAAAATGGCCTAACGTTCACCAAGAAAAACGTCACATACTGTTAAGAAAGTAGAAGGCAGATTCAAACACTATGAAAAAACAAAGAAAGCATTCTCACAAAACAAACAAACAAAACACAAAAAACCCCAGAACATATTGCAGACCCAGTAGATATCCCAGAGATAGAAAGGCACAAGATACATATTGACATGAAGGTAATCAAACAGCTATGGAAGAAGGTAAAAATGAGGGAAGAAACAATGAAAGCCAGAAAAAAAGGGCCTGCCCTAGAAGCAGAGAATCGAAGAAATATATTAACATGGAGTTATTTGAACAGCTACAGAAGACAGTTCATGTGATGGAAGAAATATTGAAGCTATTAAAAAAGAGAATTCTCCAGAGACAGGCAGCCAAAAGTAATGTATCAGTGAGAAGGAATTTGAAAAACTTTGGAAGAAAATGCAAAAGATGGAAGAAAGAATTAAAACTATAGATTAAGAGGTACAAGGACTTAAAAAAATAATCACAAAGCATAGAGGGTACAGCCAATACAGTACAAAACAGAAAAGCATGAAATTCAATCTGAATATTAAGATTGAAATGGCATAAGTGTCCAATGTCCAACATTCTAGAAGGATAAAAAGTAGAACAGAACAGATGTTATAGAGACTCACTGAACTAGAAGACAAGGACCTCAATCAGAAAGAAAAATCAGAGATGAGACAGAAATAAAATGGAGAAAAATTAGAATCATGTGGGATGACATAAAAAGGAACTAAATACATGTGATTGGAGTTCCACAACATGAAAAGGTCAGGGAAATCACTGAAAACATTGTGGAAGAAGTAGGAGAAGAAAACTTCTCATGTATTATGAAGAATGGAGACATCTACATTCAAGAAGCTCAGTGAATAGACTAGACCCAAAAAGAATAACTTCAATACTTATCATAGTAAAATTCTCCAGAATAAAAGATAAAGATAAAAAACTAGAAAAACAGAGTAAGTTACATAGGAGAGCCAACTAGACTAAGTTCTAGTATTTCAGCAGAAACAATGCTCTCAAGAAGACAATGGGATGGCACATACAGAGAGCTGAAAGAAAACAATTGTCAACCAAGGGTCCTGTATCCAGCAAAGTTATCCATAAAACATGAAGGAGAAATTAGGTCATTTACAGGAGAAAAAAAAGGAACTTAAGGAATTTGTGGATACAAGACCAAATCTACAAGAAATTTTAAGGGAAGTCCTTCACACAGAAACACCAAAGGAAAATAGATAGATCACAGTAACCAGAAACAACAGGATAAGAAACACAACAAAATGACAATGCTAAGACTTCGTCTGTCAAAATATAGGCTACAAGAGATATATCTAAGAAACAAGGAGAAAGATAGACTTGAAAGCAAAGGCTTGGGGGGAAATATGCTGATCAAATTGCATGCAAATAAAAGCATAAGTGGCAATATTAATATCTGAGAAAATAGACTTCATGATGTAAACAACCATAAAAGATAAGGAAAGGCACTACATAATGATCAAAGGACAACAGATCTAGAATATAAAACCTTAGACAATATATCAATAATAGGAAACCTTGGCATTCAGACAAAGAACTAGTAAACAGAAAGAAAAATAAATGGGCTACAGTAACATTCAATGATCTAGATGACTCTCACAAATAAAATGTTATGTGAATTTTTAAATCCTAAGATGTCATACAAAATGATCACTTAATTTATAAAATGGAAAAATAATATAGAAATAAATATCAAAGAAAACATATATATATATTAATATGCTATAAAGAGGAAGGCAAAGGAATAATTAACACAGAATTCAGGAAGTTGTGTACTTCAAGTGCAGTGAGACAGGGGAGTGGAATGGTGTTTTTGTTTCTTAGTGTCTTTATAACAGAAATTCCACTGATGAGTGGTCTTGATGAACAGAAAGTCATATTGTTACAATTTAGGAGGTGAAAATCTGAATTCAGAGTAACAACTTTAGCAAAAGTCTCTCTGCCTACTCTGGAAGAAAAATTCTTTTTTCTTTCCATTTTTCTTCCTTAGTTCCTTGGTGATGTGCAAGAGGATTGCTCTTTCCTAGTCTGGCTTGCTTCTGCAACTCCTTTGTTTTTTTTTATATCTCAGAAGTTATTCACTTAAGAAAGACTCTACACTGACATGGCGCCATTAATATAACTGAGGAAATCCTACCCACCAACATGATGACATCCATATGTTTAGTGTTTAGGGCCCAGAACATATATATATGTAAGGTGGGAGATATAGCTGGATGAGCACAGTTCAACCCATAACATATGGGAAAGGCCAAATGGATAGATATAAAAGTTGGGTTTTTTTCCAAGATTAATGAGTTTTCCCAACATAATTAAAATTAGGTAACTAAGAGTGAGTGATGCATGACAATGGTGAGACTGTCACAAAGCAAAGATTATGATTAATGCAATTCTGGTCACCTTAGATCTCTAGAGCAAGTATAGATTGGGATAACAAATTAAATCAGATTTTTAATGAAATATTAGGTAATTTTTCATCATAACATGTTGATTTGTTTAAGAATTCCATGTTATATGTATAAAATTATGCTTCTGATAGCATCACCTAAAATACTTTTTGTGTAGCCAGCTTTGCTTGTTTCCAATTTAGTACTATCAACAGAACTTGTATATCAAAGCATTAACAGTGCCAATACACAAAGAAGCAAGCTAAATGTTTAAATAAAAGTGTTTATGTTTATAAAGTACATCAGTAGCTCACAATCACAATTAGATCAAAAGTCAGTCACAGTTATAACTTTGTCATCTTTCTAGGGTAATTTTCTCTTTTCTATTCCACAGCTCCACAAGTGGAAGACCCACCTGGAAAGGAAGAAGCACTTCTCAAATGCTGCCCACTCTGTCCTGAAGGACATTCTATCCTTCGGGCATAGAGAAGGTAGAAAGACCTTCCATCTATCCATGCACCTTCTGAAGCCAGATTTCTGTGTAGCAGACTTTAGGAGGAGAGAAACTACACGGTTATATAGAACAGGTCAAACTGCACAGGATGCTACTCTAGGATCTCTGCTGTGATCTCTGGGTGAAGGGTTAGGGGTCCACAGTCTATGATTTACATGAGACATTTTCATAGTTGTCTGTAGCATCTTCATTGTCTCTCTCTCTACTGTTGACCTGCCCTGGGGAGTTCTCCTGGTGTGCCTTCTTCAACTCTGAATAGATCACTCGAAGTTCCTGGGTTAGAAAACAAATAATTAATAATCAATAAGAAGAATAAGAAATAAAAATAAATACTAAAATAAATAATAACAAATAATAAATACCTAAATACATAAGAATATTTAAAGAAAAGAATGAAAACAAGAGACTGTGCCTACCTTGTCCTTCTGACACACCTTTAATGAATGTGCTGTTGAGTTAGAAGAAAATGTATTAAACTAAAGGTAAAATTTTCTAACTTAAAACTTATTTTCAATATATTCCAAACCCATCTTTCCTCTGTTAATTCATCTTTCAACTTATCCTTTAATGAGTTCTTCTGCAGGGGTTTATCTTCATGGGTAAAGCTGTCCCTACCCACACCCGCAGCACATGCATCTTTATACTAACAAAAGCTTCACCCATCAAATTACCAGGACAACTTGTTTAGCTATTTTCTTTTTGCTCCTCTTTAATATGGTTCATTATAACCCTAAAGAGATACCTACCTCTCAGGGCCTCAGTGACTTCTTGATCAACTGGAATAAGGGACTCACCTCACTTTGCACAAAGAATTTAGAAAAGACCAGAAAGAAAGTTAGCTTTCTAAGGCCATACAGAAGATTCTCAGGGAGCCAAAGATTTGCCAGAACTATTTAAGAAATGATGTGTATCATCATACTTCTAAGAGGTGTGTCTGGCTTGTGTTTATTCATTCAGTTAGCGTCCAATGAATAACGTTTGTCCACTAAATGTTAGATAATTTTTTAAGAGGAAGGATCAGCACAGAAACAATATATTGAGTAGTATAAAACCCAAGATAGATTGAGACTGAGATTACAAAAGGGCAAATATTGCATAGGGCCACTGTTTTAAAATGGGACTGACATCATGGTTGAGGGAAGACAGAAAAGGAGGAGAGGAATGATGTATATTGCATTGAAGCAGATGAGGGAGAGAACGGTTTAAAAGGGGTATATGAATGGGTTTTCTTGTCATTAGAGAAGTCAAGAGTGAGAGCTGTAGAGTGGAGTGGAGTTGGGGGGAGGGATTGCATAACAATAAAAGAGTTTTTCTTTTTTCAAGAAGAGTGATTTGTGGGAGAGGGGTGGGCAGGAAGAAAAGTGCAACAATGAATGACTTGAAATCTTAAGTCTCTTTAAACTTTCATTAAAATTAATAAATAAATTTTAAAAATAACCAAGATATAAATATACACTGAACTGTTGTGATGTCACAAAGGATCATAAGTCCCCCATAGAATGGGCATGGAGAAGGGTGGCAGAGTCACTTTAAATTTCATTGCTATGCTTGAACTGAGTCTTAAAATACAAACAGGGGTCACAAGGTAAACCTGGGGCAAAGACCTTACAGGATGAAGGAAAAGTGTAAACATTGGAACAGAAAGCATCCTGGTCTGATGAAGAAAATACCAAAAGTTTAAAACGGTCAGAGTGAGGACCTAAGTATAGAGCTTGGGACATCGGAGGACAGAGGAAAGAAGGAGCCTTTATTTGAAATGAAGAGTCAGTGAAGGTGTTCAGTTCAGGAAATCATATGATTGTGCATCTCAGAGGGATCTTGTTGGAAACAAATTGTTGGAAAGTTGAAGGAAAGACTATACCAAAGAGATCAGATAAGAGAGGAAAATACCATACAAAACCACAGTTACAAAAAGCTAGAGAAAAGTTTACATGCAGACAGTATCATTCTAGAATAAAAGATTTACATACAGAAGGAATCAACCAAGGAGAGTAAAAGGCAGAGAGTGAAAATTAATTTATAGAAAAGGAGCTCGTTGATATCAGTCAAGGGAAGGGATGATGTGAAATAAATGGATAATGAGACATTGTGTGTATGGAGCCATTGATGTTGTGGAAACCAATGTGCATGAATGATTAATTGGAAATAAAAGAACCCAGTATTCTTTGCATACTTATACTTAAATAAAAATTTTCAAAAAATGAGAGTTACAACTGTCTACTTACTGAGTTATGAGAAGCTTATCTTATTAAATAATGTGTTACTCTATAAATTGTGAATGTATTCATTTAAAAAATATTTCAGGAGATCTATAGTTTTCCAAACTTCCCAGACATTTCATTAATTATACGGATGCATTAATGAAAAAAAACACAGTGTCTGTTCTCAAAAGCTTAGAAGACAATGCTGGTGGTGTGAAGTATTAGAGGGAATGGATATGATTATGCTATTGGCAATACAAAATGAGCTTCAAGTTGGATTTACATTTGAGATGATGAATTGAAGATTGCTTATTGGGCCTCATGCCACGCTGCCACCTTATTTCTACTTCTCTGGAAGAGAAATCTCACCTGAATTTCCTTTTATATGCTGTATGCTCACGATCTCGGAATAAAGCAGATTGCTATCTGCAGGATTTACTGTGAGAGGAAAGTTAAGATGTTATAATTGTTTATAATCAACACTCCCCACACTAGATTCTTCTTCTTGGTCATTAAGGATATAACCAGCTTATATCCCTCAGCTTAATTCTGGAAATGTCATTTTTTAAATTTTGGATGTGAATAGGTCATGATCTCAACTCCTCCTCCCTCCCTAGTGCATGCCTGGAGCCTTGCCTCTTAGGGAGTCCTCACCGTTGCTGTACACTGGATGCATTTCCTCAGAGCCCAATGACTCGGAATAGGAGGGTTCCCGAGGATTTGTGTCAGAGAGTCTGGACAAGGAAACTTCTGGAAACTCGTTGGATCTATAACAATCACAGAAGTAGAGAGGAAAAGCAAACAAACAAACAAACACTATTTGAATGACACAGTCTCAGGGAAATTGATATCCAAGAAGGTACAGAGTTTATCTAGTTAATATACAAATATCATAGCTTTTTACACTGAAAGTCTGCATGGCTTTCTAGAAAATGTCAGAAGAACATTGTACAATGTGGGGATAAAATAGTAGAACAAGGCAGCAGACAGAAGCACACTTGGAGGGCAAAAGCTACACTGTCCTAAGGCCTCTTTGATAGGGTAAAACCACACATTGGCTAATTTTTTAATAAAAGTGTAAATTCTTTAACATTGGTACACAAAGACTTTTCCTTTTCTACAAACTTGATCTTCATATTTTTTTCCCTAAAATTTCTTTCAGTTTTATATCATATATTATAATAATCTACCCTCCCTATAAAATACCATGCAGAATCTTTAGAAAAATTACTTTGTTTTGTTTCATCTTCTCTTTTCCATTCTCTTCTGCAATTAATGTTATGAATCAAGTATTATGGTCATTCAGTAGTCCCTTGCTGAATAAATTTATGAGTAGAAGAAAAAGCAATGAAGGGGCCCTTACTGATAGCCCTACAAAGAATGATGTCATTAAGACATTGGTGCTCAAGGACCCAACTAGGACTTTTTTTTTTCAGGTATGAACAGTTAACTTTACAAGTAATGGAGACTTCATGCAGGTTTATAAAAGAACATATTTTTCCTTTCTTCAAATTTTTAAAATGTATGCATTATGGAAAAAGGAAATGCAAAGAAGAAACAACACAAAAGCTACCCACAAGCATCTTTATGATTATCTAGTTTATGTCCTTTTACATCTTATGCATAAATATACACTACCAAGCATACATTTTTATGTGGCTGAGGTCACACAGTATGGATTTATGCTTTTCATGCATCACAAATATTTATGAATTCAAAGTCCCAAAGCCATGAGTATTTTGACAACCAAGAATACACTATTCTAACTCAGTTACGAAGGATAAAAAAAGCAGCCAGCCATTCTTGGGGACAAAAATTTCATAAAGACAAAAAACAGTGCACACATCTAGTTAAAAATATTGGCAGAGCTGCAATTAAACTACTGCATTCGTTTAATGTGCAATGTAAAATAAAACTTAGAGCAATACAGTATACTAATTCTAAGATAGTTATCAGATCTCCATGAAAATTTAACAATGTAGTCCTGCAATACAGACAAGAGATGTGCACACGTATCATGGTTACTATAAAAATGTAAACATGCGCACACATGCCTCTTCTTACACGTCTTTCTGCCTCTCTGCAGCCAACTAATCAACCTGATGGACATTGCTCAGAGATGGCATAGCAATTCCATGTCCAAGATGCTTTCCTATGATAGCAAAGATATTTACAAATTGCTTAACTCACTACACCTACTTTACATTGTCACTGCAAGACATCTAAAAAGCTTAAATGTTTCAAAAAGATTTAAAAAATTGTCCACAATAAACAAGATACTTTAAAAAAAAATGTACATAATATAATCTAACACTTTTCCAGACATGGATTTACTAGCCAAGAGCTCTTCCCTATACCTTCCTTCTTCTTCCACCGTTTAAATGACTAAACCCTGAAATACATCCAGCTCCATGAGGTAGACAAAGATCACTCCCAGAAAACAGTCCTTCCTAAAAATATGGAACACTTCAGGAATTTACTTGTCTTCCTTGCACAGGGGCCATCCTAATCTTCTCATCATTTCAGTTTTAGTATATGTGCTGCCAAAACGAGCATGAACTAAGTCAATTTCAAGAAATGTATATATTTTTAATCATGTCTAGGAAAAATTCATATATTTATTATCCATAAACATGAGTAAGAATAGCTTTCCTAGTTCTAGATTATCAATTTCTTAAGAATATGAATTAGGAAAGATGTCTAGTTAAATGTTTTAAAATTGTACATCATTGAATATTATGATTATAAATAAATTATTAAAATGTTGGCAGCACCAGAGGCAGAGACTTCACCTTGATATCCCAGTGGCAACAATTCCTCCTGCAATACAAAACAAAAACAAAGCATTACTACTCAGTGATCTCTATCTCAGTCTTATCTAGCTCTCTTTTTTTCCTCAGTTTATATATGGAAAATGTGCTCTATGATTGTATGTTCTTTTTTTAATATTTTTTACTATCTTCAATTTTAGTTGACTTTTTCAAATTCATTTACATTGTATTTTACACTTTTCTTCATTGCCATTATGTTTTATACAATCATTCCCATACTTTTTGTTTTATAAAATTAATCACCATTGAACTACGCCCACCATTGCCCAGCCTTTTCAGGTCCTCACCAGATTGTTTCCAGTTCCTTGAAGCCTTCCCTCCACCCACCACACTGTGCTTCCCTGTGATTCCTTCTGCCCATCTTTACTCCTCTGCTCCACCCTTTCCCCCTTTGGGCCCCCATACATATTTTAATAATTAAAGAATCGCCTATGTCTTATCTATGGAAACTCTTAGTGGACGTTCAACTTCATCTTAAACATAATTGCTAATTATCTAGAAAAAAATATTTGCCCAATAGCAGATTTATGCTGATTGTTATCTAACCAGTAACAGCAATGTGAACTCTAAGTAGTTGTGATTGAGGAGAAGTGTGAAAGTCCTAGATAATCTAACTTTGTTGCCCAGCATAATGTACATTGACTGTTCTTAGGGGTCAAGTAAATTAGGGCTCATAACAACTCTATACACAACAGATTGAAACTTTGTATTATCCTGTGCCATTCTCACAATCTCCACTACCTTACTCCAACCCATTGTTAAAGTTATATGTCAATCCAATTTATTGAGTCTCTTCCTCTCTTTTACTGCCCCTTTGCTTTTCCCAGCATTATATCTTTTTCCAAGAACAACATGTCCAAAGAATATGAGATACATAGAATCGTTCTTGCTTAAAAAGAGCTCCCTGACTGTACATCCTCCAGGACAGATTTGTTCTTTTGGCAGTTCATAGGGAGAGAAAGAACACAGATGAGATGGATTGATACAGGGACTCAGGCAATGAGAATTGGTGTGTCAGAATTAGTGAGATTGGTTCAGGACAGGGCAGGCTTCAAAGCTGCTGTACATAAGGTATCTATGGATCACAGGCACCATGAGGACACATAACACCAAAAGCATATTCAACTCATCATCCACAACAAAATTCAAAAACACAATTTATCTTGGTCTTCCTTATACACTATTCTAACTTCAGAAGCAACTGAAATGTCATGGCTCATATCAGGTACACCTTAGTCTTTAAAGTGACATCTATGTTCTTTAGGACTTTGGATGGGTCTTTGATAGCAGATGAAATACATTTTTTTAATTTTTATCATTTTGTGTGCGTGTACCGTCAAATCAGATCTGACTGGTACAGGAGGATATTGCTCCTCTTTCTCCGGCAGAGCATCTGGTGGATTTGAACCGTGTACCTCTGGGATTGCAGTGCAGCTTCTTGCCACTAGGCCACCAGAGCTCCCCCGAAATACATTTTTGTTCATTTATTTCTTGACCACTGATTATGGGTCCAAGTGAAATGAAAATCGATATCTTCAACTATTTCCCTTATCTTTCATAACGTTGCCTAGTTTAGTGGTGAAGATTTTTGTTTCTTTTTTTGATGTTGAGATGTAATTCATATTGGAAGCTGTATTTTGTTATCATCTTCAGTAGGTGCTTCAAGTCTTCTTCACTAATATGTTATTGTTGTTGTGTGCCATCGAGTCAGAATCAACCTGTAGTTGACCCTCCAGCAAGTTTTCAGAAGCACATGGGAGGAGACTGCCAATGAGCAGCTAGTGGATTTGAAACATGAACTATTAGGATTGCAGCACAGCTTCTTACCACTAGGCCACCAGAACGCCTTTCTTAACTGGGTAGTTCACATAAAAATCTTGAAATAAAGTGTACACTGTATTGAAGT